TTTGGTGGGATGGAGTAACCCTGATCCCACCCACTGGCTCGCTGCTCCCTGCCTCTCCGTATAAACACAGCCGGCACTAGCTCAGTCTGCCCGGAGCTGATGCTTGCTGTTTCCTCTCGGGATGGCTGTCCTTTTCACAGAGAGGCTGGGGGCGATCCGGGCCGCTCTGTCCGACCAGACCTGGATCCTTCTCCTCACTTTCCTGCTGCTGCTGGCCCGGTAAGTGCGGGATCTCTCTAACGCCTTGTCCTGCTTCCAGCGATGGGACACAAGAGTCACAGAGTTCAACTGCAGGCGCTATCGGGGACGAGGAAAGTTTTGCAGCATTTTGTCACCGGTTGGTGTTTGTGTTTGAACTGTGTGTGTTTGTGTGTATGAGGTGGGGGAGAGAGGGAGGGAGCTCTCCTCAGCCTCTGACCCCACTCACCCTGCCCGGGGAATCGCTGCTGATTGCGGGGCATTTTCCCCTCCTGCTGCCCCCAGCCCTGTGGTTCCAGGCTGGAGCTGGATGAAAGGGGAGGATTCCAGTTTGGGATTTGGTTTATTTTGGGGGTTGGACGGAAGGCGATAGAGAGATAGTCTGACCAGAGATATTGAGGGATTGGAGTTTTCAATCACTTCAGGAAGGGTCTGACCCAAAGGAGATTGATGCCCCACTGCAACCTCTGGAACCAGCTTCTCCGTTTAGGACGAAGCTGACTCGAATGGGATTTTATTCTGAGAGAATATTAATGTTTCCATGGATTTTAACCCCACTAGGAATTAAATCATTTGGCCATACTTTTTTCCAAGTTTCCACTTTAGAACAAAGGTGAATCTTGGCAGGTGAATGTGAAACTCTGCATTTATTGCTGGTTTACATTAAACTGCAGCAATTGGACAAGGTTGAAATCTCGAGTTGCTTCTGCTAAAATGCAAGATTATGTACATTAAGAGCAATAGTGAAGGTGAGATTGATCTCCTTCAAGTTGAGAAGATTTGATAGAGATTTTCAAAATCATGAAAGGTCGTCGTAGAATAAGTAAGGAGATACTGTTTCCACTGAAAGGAGGATTGGTAACCAGATGGCCATATAAGGAAACAACTTTTTTGGTAAAGTGGCAAGTTGCTATGATCGGGAGGGAATACATTGCCTGAAAGGGTGGAACAAGCACGAAGTATGCTTCCTGAAGCATGGACTAATGCATTGTGCAACTATGCAACTATGTCCAGAACTCACTTACTCCTGAGACAACAAGGTGCAGGGCTGGATGAACACAGCAGGCCAAGCAGCATCATAGGAGCAGATAGCCCTGCACCTTGTTGTCTTGGATTCTCCAGCATCTGCAGTTCCTGCTATCTCTCACTTACTCCTGAACCTTGTTTTAAAATATTCAAACTTATTTCCATTTTTAAGTGTTGATGTTTTACATGGAAGATTGGTGTTTAAATGAGAAATTATTTTGTGGGACTGATTAATGGGAGTTTGTTTGATTTAGCTCATAACCAGTTTGTTTATTTTTCATTAAGATTTGTAATCAATTCACTTTGCAGGTACAGTGTTCTACCATATGGGCTATTTAGGCGACTTGGAGTTCCAGGCCCAATGCCGCTGCCATTCCTTGGAACATTTTTACATTATAGAAAGGTATGTTTGATTTTTTCTTTCTTGATCATGTCAAGAACTCCAGTTAGAGTTCTGTCTGTTATTGAACTGTTCTGCCTTAGCACTGTTTTTTCTTTCATAAGCGATGACAGAAGCTTGTGTTTGGATGAGGAGATCAAAGTTCAAAACACATGAGAACAGCAAGTGAATTTGCCATTTTTAAAGCATAGCGAAAATGGGTGAGGGGAACAGAAAGAGGAAATTAAAGAAAGGTTACTCCCTGTACTATATTACTTTACATTATGGTTCCCCTGTTGTCCTGAACTGAGAAATGGCAGGTACCTGATTGAAAGTGGGGAAGATAGTGCTAAGTTGTGATTGGATGAGCAGCTTTCCTCACCGATTCTGTTGCTCTAGCTCAATCAGTGACAGTTCCCTCTCTCCCAATCTAGCAGATCCTGCAGGGACAGAATCTACGATGGATTGGGGAAGTGGGGCTCTGAAGGATGTGGAAGGTATATACGCCATACCACAAGAGATGTAGGAGAATTCGGGAAGGAGTGGGAGCAATTGTGGATTTAGGTTCCCAGCTGGTTTGAGATATTTAACTTTTCAGCCGAGCGAAAACACTGGGAAATTGTGCATGTGATAGCAGCTGCCTTTCTCCAGCATGTAAGTCTGGTTGAAGTGAATGGACAGACGCTTCTAATAGACAGGTAGACAAGCACATACAGATAAAGGAACAGAAAGGGATCTGGATAAAATGGGAGGAGCACAGACCAGTTGACTCAAAGGACCTGCATTCATCTATGAATGTGGCTTAAAACTGCCTGATTCTTTTTTGAGGTCACATGAATACACACCTGAAAGATGTGATCTCTTGAAGGAATAGTTGTGAGGGACTGCAGTGGAACTAACTATTTTTTCATCTAAAGCAATAAAACAGGTTTTGTATCCTTACATGTCTTCAATAACATCAAAATATCGTTCTGATGCACTGTGATGCAAGTATTTGTTGTTACACATTTTTTGTGCTTTGTGATTATTTTTGCTGATTTTTTTTTTATTTGTTTTGTTCCTGGCCAGGGTATGTTTGGATTTGACATGGAATGCTACAAGAAATATGGAAAGATGTGGGGGTGAGTGCATTAAATCAACAAGTGGTATTTGTAAAGGTTTTGATTATTATCTTTGAAAAATCCATTTTATTCCAGTTATATAGTGCAGCCTAAGATATGATGTACAGGGTGGTAAACCCATTTTAAAGGTAAAGATCTTTTCAAGCGGACTTTGTAATCAATTATTTCTCTTTAGTGATATTGTGGTGCAGGCGGCATGGATATATTCACTTTGTACTCAAAGGATGCCACATTTTTCTGGAATTTAGCAGATTTCGGGGAGGGATGTTCAACCTTAGTGCATTAGTTCTTTTTAACAAACATTCAAATTGAGAAATGGCTCCAATGATGCACCGACACTGAGCTTGACATTCACTCTGCTTTGTTTCAAACAGATGTCTCACACATTTTTTCCATCCAATAAACTGCAATAATGGAGTGAAGTCTCATTCAGCTGAGGATTGACCCATGTTGTTGCTGGAACTTAGGCAGTGGATTTGGCTGAATTTTGTCCACACAATATCACAGGACCATTTCTGGGAGAATATCCTTGTCCAACACAGGAATTCAACCCATTGAAATCAAGAGTCTGGAGGAGGGACTGGGAAATGTCCCAATAATCTGTTAAAGTTCATTGATCCTGGAGGTGAATTTCATAGAGCTGGGACCTTCCATTTTCTCCTTTTGTCTTTGCCCAGGATGAGATCTGGACGTGGGTGACTAATCCACCCTTGGGAGGGCTGTGTCAAATGGTGAAAGATTTTATGGAGGCTATATATGCCATTGATTCTACATTCTATTTTTTTTGCTGGAATCCCTAGGCTGGACTATCCCACTGTTTCCCTGACCACCTCCTTCTACAGCACTCTAACCTCCCAGTGCCATCTCCTTATCTCCCCTACCTTCTGTCTGCTCCTTGCCTACAGCCTGAAACTGCATATTTCACCGCACTGACAGTCTGCTTAATCATGCTTGCTGTAGCGAGGGGTGATGTTGGTGAAAACCAATTGAGATATCAGTACATTCTGTAGTTAACTCCTTGGGGTCTGTCCTTGCTATGCTAATGTCCCGTTCCCGAAATTCCATGGTGGTTCTGGCAATTATACAGTTTATAATTTGGTCCAGCACAGCAGCACAGAACAATTGGAATTTAACCTCTATAAACTCAAGAAATTCACTTTTGACTTAAACACACTGCTTGTGGATTTATAAATTGATTAGTGAGGAGTTGATCCAAATTAGAATAAACTCAACCACTTCACACCTCTCTACCAACTCCTCTGCCCTGAATCCCCCACCTCCCCCCACTTCACAAGGAGAATCTCTCTCCATCTGATTTAAAACCCAGATTCACCATCTAACCCTTTTTTTTCTCCTCTAGCATCTATGATGGACGCCGGCCCATTCTATGTCTTGTGGATCCTGATCTAATTAAAACCATCTTCATAAAAGAATTTTACACTCTGTTCACCAATAGACAGGTAAGTATTGAACTGCATTAACTAGAATAAACTTTTTTTTCTCTACCTGATTCGTGTAAACCTACCTTGGCAATGCCTTAGCTAGAATGTAACTTAGTTCCCACATTTTCTCCATCTGTTGTTCTAATGTCATGACATGCAGAGCAAAAGTCAGGCTTACCAAACACATCTGCATGTGTCATGAAGTGGGGTGTGGGGATGATAAAATAAGTTTATCAGGATAAGGCTATTTGGCCCCTCAAGCCTGCCTTCCCACTCAGGAAGGTAATGGCTGATCTGGTTGTTTCCAATCGTGTAGTTGATGCCCACTGTTGAGATCTTGCCATATTTTGCATCTGAAAAGGTGCAAGTCAGATCCGATTGCTGCTCTTTCCTCACACCCTTTCTGTTTCGTCCCCACCACGTCTGCCTTTTCTACTCCCCCTGCCGCCATTCAACCTAAATACTCACTGCTGCTTTAGCAGAAATTTGCTGATAAATTAATATGTATAGAACCTAATATGTAAACTAAAGTAAAACAGAAGTTTGTCTTGACAATTTTTCTGTAGGACTTTGGTCTGAACGGACCATTGACTGAGTCCATCCTGGTTGTTCAAGATGACCATTGGAAGAGAATCCGAAGTGTCCTTTCACCAACTTTCACCAGTGGGAGACTGAAAGAGGTAATGAACCACCATCCCATTCCTGAGTAATTGAATGTTTTGTCTGTGCCAGTAATTGTGGTGTGTGAGATCAGGTATATGGGTAATTGTGTGTCAGATGCAAAATTGTACAATAACTGATTTCATATGATGAGTATAGCTGCTGATACACAATGGAATTATAATTTAAGACGATAAAATACAGAGTAACGTGAGGACATCTTAAACTCTGCTGCTCAGGTCTTCACTCCCAGCACATTCCATTCCCCAAAAACCTCTCTACTCACTGACCTCCTTTGACTCCTTCTCAAATGTCTTAATTTTAAAATTCTCATCCTTTGTCCACATTACTCCATGGCTTCACTCCTCCCTATCTCTGCAATCTTATCCAGCTCCACAATCCTGCAGGAATTCTCAGCTCTTCTGGTTTTGGCTTATTCTGTATCCAATTTGTAAATGCTCCACCATTGTGTGACTTCAGTTGTATAGGGCCCAAGCTCTGGAATACCTTTCTACCTCATGTTGTTCCTTCAAGACACTCCTTGAAACATTATTGAGACCATCTATCTCCTTCACATTTTCAGTTTCCCGTCTGACCCTTCTAGTTTCTACCTGGATACCACATTATCCACCTGACATCTGTCATAATCACACTTCTTTGATCTGCATCCTCTTAATCTTCATTTCTTTCAAGAGAGTTCTGAATATCTTTGCCTTACATTTTCCCCACTGTGGATATATTTCTATCCCTCCTTTCAAAGGAAGCCCATTGTTCAATACAGTTTATCTGCTGGTCTATAAATCTAAGCCAGATCAATTGAAATTACCAAGTCCTTAAGTGGACTTCTCCAATTAATTATTCGTAATTTGGATTATTCTTTTTCTTTTTATCCATAATAGCTTGAGCCTTTTACAACAATCACTGTCTCATAAATGTTCTCCTCTTAATACTTGTTCCAGTTAGTCTACCTAATTCCGAAGGACTAGGTGTTTCCTTTCTTGTTGGACAGGAAACATATTGCTGTACAGCATTCTCCTGAACACATTATAGGAGCTTATACCCATCTTTGCCCTTTTGCACTACTATCCCAGTCTATATTTGTATAATTGACATCCCCCTTAATAACCACTGTATCATTCCTAATCTTCTGTATAATACCATCATGCCTCCTCCGTTCTTTCCCATCTTCCCTTCTGGAATACCTTGTATCTAGAAATATTTAATACCCAGTCCTATAAAGAGACCTTTTTGAACCAGATCTCAATCATTGCTGCAACATCAATTGCAAGTGCCTTGCTGTGTCCTAGTATTAGCTATTTATCTCCTCCCAATATTTCTTGCACCTTGGTGTAGCTCCAGATTTTCGCATCCTGTCAAGTTAGTTTAAACCATTCCCAATAACACTAGCAAGTCACGTTGCAAGGAAATTGGTCCCAGCTCTGTTTGGGTGCAGCCCATCAGGCCTGTACAGGTTCCATTTCACCAGGAACTGATCCCAATGTCCCAAAAATGTAAAGCCCTTTCTCCTGTACCATCTCTGTAGCCACATGTTAATTGATATGGTCTATTCTCCTATTTTATGTGTGTGTGTTAGTGGGAGTAATCCAGAGGTCACTACTTCTGAGGGTCTTCCTTGTCAACTTCCTTCATAGTTCCTTAAACACTGAATGCAAGACAATTCTACTTGTCAGTAACAAAGTGGGCCTTGACTGCTGGATGTTTACCCAAGTGGCCATTCAGTGACATCCTTGGTCCTGGCACTAGGGAGACAGCAGAATCATCTTGGATTCAGAGCTGCAACAGCAGAAACAGCTGGCTGCTCCATCTAACTTCCTGTTACAATTGGCCTTCCTCTTGTCTTCGTGCCACTCCATACAGCTCAACCAGCTGGAGTGCCATAGATTTAGCTCTGACTCCAAATGTAATGTCACAGATCTGACGGAGGGTCACTGGTCCTGAAACATTAGCTCTGCTTTCTCTCCACAAATGCTCCAGACCTGCTGAATTTCTCCAGCAATTTGTTTTTGTTTCAGATTTTCAGCATATGCAGTTCAAATTTTTTGTTCAGTGTGTCATTTATCGGAATGGAGAATTAAATACTGATTGGAGGAGTGCATTCCATGGACTCCTGCCTGGTTCTTCTTAACTGCCTGATGGTCACCCATCCTCTCTCTTTCTCTTTCCATATTCTTAAGATGTGGAATGAGCACACCTGTCATTGTGCTGTCTCCACCTCCCAGATATTCTGCAGCAATGCCATTTGTTGCTCAAGCTCCTAATCCCAGAGCATGAGCTGCTGCAGCTGATGACACTTCCCACGTGTGCAACCAACATGTGACAACAAGACCAGGTAATGGGTATGGAATTTATGATGAGATAGGCTATGCATAGTTGAGTTTTGAAGGTGTGCGTCTGTGTGCGCAGGTAAAGTACTAGGAGTTCTTCACAGTGTGGTTTACGGACTGGGAAGGTTGAGGAAGTCATTGATTTCTGATGGGAAATGAAGGAGCCATGAATTGTCATTATCTGTCATTATTTGTCATTGTAATCCTGAAGGGATGTGGAGAGTGTAAAATGCCCCTTTACTAGATGAAAGCTGTTGATCTCCAGGAACACATGAGTATATTTAGGTCCAAACCATCACTGTGTGTATCCCATACATTATTCGCCCTGTTTCTTTTCTCTTCCCAGATGTGTCCAATCATCAGTCACTATGCAGAAAATCTTGTGAAGAATGCAAAAAAGAAAGCAGAGCTGAATGAATCTGCTGACATGAAAGAGTGAGTAACTTGTCTATAAGATTACACATCCCTGTTCCTACACCACAAACCCTACCCAACACAATAAATTATTTTCACTTTGTTCTAAGAACTTCATGGTTCACATTGGTCTCTGAGTGGAATTCATGTGATATTCACTAACTTTCATGAACTTGCTGGTCATCCTGAGTTAACCAAATATACCTATATACCAGCTAGTTGTGGTGGCACAACTTCTCACTACAGCTCAAACATGTAGCTTCCATCCTTAAAGACGTATACAATTTGAAGTTCCTCAAGAGGAATTCAATCCTTCCATTTAATTTCTCCCTTTTGGATAACATGGCAATGATGGTGGATGAACTGCTTCTGAGGTTTCCCTAATGTCACTTTGAACCACTCTGTAGACGTATAATCAGAGGAACTGCCATGAGAGATCATTTTACCTCTCCTCCACCAATCCACAGTGGCAGCATTGTACACTGCTTACAAAATACATTACAGCAACTCACTCCTTCCAAAGCTGTGATCTCTGTAACCTGGAAGGACAAAGGCAGATGATATATTGGACACCATTACCTGCAAGCCTGACATCATGACCTGAAACGCAAGTCTGACTGGATCAAAATCCTGGAACATCCTACCCTGGTGTCACAGTGGGTGTGCCTACACTGGATGGGTGCTGTTGTTCAAGATGATAGCTCACTGCCACTTTCTCAAAGGCAATTGGGATGAACCCACCCAGTGACACTTGCATTCCTAAAAAGGACAACAAAAAAACTTCAGTCTAAGGAGAAACGCACTCGTATAATTAACTGCTTTTACTCTAAATTTGATTGGAACTCAATTAGTATCCACATAAGAAGAATATGAAGTCACTGGGTGATAGTGTTAGATCACAGGTTGGAAGGAGATATGTTTAGTGCAGAATCGCTTGGATAGACCTGTTTGGTTGAATTGTCAATTTTCTATGCTGGACATTCAATGCAATTGTTTTACTTTGTCTTGGCTGTCAAGTGGCAAAAGATTTCTTTCTTTCAGCTGTTCAACAGTTGTAACAAATACATTTTTCTTCTGCCAGTATCTTTGGCACATACAGCCTAGATGTGATTACGAGCACTGCATTCAATGTGGATGTCGACTCGATCAACAATCCCAATGACCTATTTATCATCAACATCAAGAGATTGATCAATTTCAATGTCTTCAACCCTGCATTTATCCTTGCCTGTAAGTGATTCAAAATACTTGTTTTTGTTTTAGTCGAGCTAGGGGAAGATTTTCTTCTGATTTGAGGAGATATACAGCTGGTTGCACTATTCACCCCAGCTGCTCTGTTTCCATGGCTGCGGTTTTAGCAGTCTGCACTTCCAGTAACTTTGTGGGTAAGTTTTTTTGAGGTAAAAAGATCCAGGATCCAGCAGACTTCATGAGGTGCCCTATAACATCTAATAATAAAAATAATAATAATGTCTATAATGTCCGATCAGGTGCTTTCTCTTTTCAAAATTTGTCAAGTATTCAATTCTTATTGTAGCCACCCACCCAAAGGGAATATCTAAACCACATCTCCTTGACATTCAATTACAATGCCATTACTGAATGTCTGCCATCATCAGAGTTCAGGAGATTATCACTGACCAGATACTGAACTGGTCCAACCATATAAGTACTGTGCTATGAGAAAGGTGATCTCTCAATGCCTGTCCACTTTCAACAAATCTTATGGTCAACAGTGATGGAACACTCCCCACTTACCTGGATGATTACAACTTCAGTCATAGTCCAAGCATGACATCTTCCAAAATGAAGCAGCCTGCTAAGTTGGCATCCCATCCACCACCGCTGACATCCATCCTATTCTCCACTGGCACAGAGTAGCAGCAGTATATACTACCTGCAAGATGCACTGCAGGAACTTGCCAAGATTCCCTCAACAACACCTAATAAACCTGCAATCTCTATCACCCAGAAGAACAAAGGTTCGGAGGACCACTGCCTGCAAGTTCTTTTCTAAGCCACACACCAAATGTGACTTGAGACAATATTGCCACTACAGTAGTGCCATGGGATCAAAATCCTGGGACTCCTTTCCTAACAGTGCTGTGAGTGTTCCTTTTATCACAGGGACCACAGTAGTTCAAGAAGGTGCATCACCTCCAGCTTCGAAGGGCAACTGGGGATGGGCAACAAATGCTGGCCTTTCAGCATCACCACGTCCCATGAATAGTGTCTGAGCATACTAACACTGCTATTTGTCATCTTTATAACTTTCCTCTTTTATTCTAGTGGCTTTTCCTGCTGTTATTCCAATCCTTTCGAAGCTTAATTTTAGCTTCTTCCCTAGAGACATGAACACGTTTTTCACAAATGTTTTGGTGAACTTGAAGGCAAAGAGACAAAAAGGAGTGCACACTGTGAGTGTTAAACTAATCATTGAAATGGTTCAAGTTCCAGCATGTTTCACCACTGTCAATACTGACCCTCTCTGCCTTAATTTTATATCTAAAAGGAATGTGGCAGTAATCAGTGGGGATGGATACCTGAGGAATAGTGTGTTCTTTGGCAGTTGCTGATGTTCAGCAGGTAGTTGGTGTTCAGTCTGATAGCACACAGCCCTGCAGTCCCACACCTGGGATTGCTGTCCAGATTCTCCACTGTCCCAATGTAAAATGTAAATCAGGGTGACAATGCAGCTTTTGTTCTTTTCTTGGGCTTTTGCCAAAGTTCGTCCTGGAGAGCAAATGTCTGGAAATTTCACCCCATGGTGTACAGGCTGGGTATTTTCTTCAGTATTAGGAATCCAGCAGTAAAAAGAACTTCCTGGATTACTTGTGAATAAACCTAAGTGAAGAGGAATGTGAGGAACAGGACAAGAGCTGTCTATATCAGTAATCTTGGGAATTAGTGAGGCAGGCTGATCTTTTCTCTTGGCCTATGTCACATTGACTAGAAATCTTACTGTCCGATTGTGTTTAAGTGATGGCCTTGACTATGATTGTGCGAAGTTGGACGTTAGAATTTGTTCGTAAAATGATTGGGGGGAAAGAGTGTGTCGTCCCTTTAAACAATGATGTGCTTTTTCTCGGCTTGGAGATTAAAAAATGTCTGCGAGCAGCAGCAGGTGCAGAGTTCCTGAAATTGAAACATTTGTATGAAAAGATTGTATGGTTAGCAACCCAAGCAGTAGTCTTGTTTTGCTATTAAGGCAACTGGTCTGAATATCAGTCCATTAATTTAAACCAGGCACTTAGAGACTAAAAAAAAATTAAATTTAAATCAAATGGTTTTGACTACCTAGGACCAATCTAATTGTAAGAAATTGGTAGGTCATCAAGGGTATAAAAAAAGAGGGTATTTGAAAATCAATGTGAGAGCAATTGCCATCTGTTATAGTTAACAACCAGCAGCCCTAAAGGGAAAATCACTGGCTCTTACAGAATTCTCTAAGCTCTCAGAAAACCATCATCTGACTAAAGGTACAGCGGCACTCTTAGCTAATATTCCTGACGCAGGAATTTGACGGAGAAAGGCATTCCTGATTGATGGGCAGCAGAGAAGGCACAGAACATTCCAGAAGACGTATCCTGGCAGTAATTTTGAGAGACAAAGTTTTAAGTTTTTCTTTATTAATTTGGTTTACACAAGTAGGACTTGTATTTGTTGGAACATCATACCATTAGAATTTTATTTTATTTGGGAATAGTTAGTAGTTGAGGAGGAACAGAACTGCTGGAAAAGCTCAACAGGTGTGGCAGCATCTGTGAAGAAAAAATCAGAGTTAATCTTTTGGGTCCGGTGACCCTTCCTCAGAACAGAACTTCTAAGCTGATAGTCCCCCAGCCCCGCACAGTTCACTTCTACCTCCTCTCAAAAATCCACAAACAGGACTATCCGGGCAGACTCATTGTTTCAGCCTCCTCCTGCCCCACAGAACTCATCTCTTACTACCTTGACTCAGTCTTCTATCCCCTGGTCCAATCCTTGCCCACGTATATCCATGATTCCTCTGACACCTTATGCTGGTTTCAAAACTTCCAGTTTGCATGTTCCAGCCGCCTCCTCTTCACCATTGATGTGCAATCCCTTTACACGTCCATTCCCCACCAGGAAGGTCTTAGGGCTCTCTGCTTAAAAAAAAAAAGACCGGAAACGTTAACTCTGTTTTCTCCCTCATAGGTGCTGCCAGACCTGCTGAGCATTTCCAGCAATTTTGTTTTTGTTCCTGATTTACAGCATCCACAGTTCTTTTAGTTTTTAGTAGTTGAGGGGGAATTGTTTGGTTTGTTGATAGTTCTGTTAATTTGTTCACTGTTAGATAAATAAATTATTACTTGTTGATCATAGTGTGACTCTTAGGAGTTCATCCAATTTAACCTCCCCTTTATAACAAATCAGGGGGGTGAGAGGCAGGTTATACCACTTTTCACACTTCCTTTAACAGATTATAGGGTGAGGCGAGCCTCTCCAGGTGTTTCGGTTTTAGTTATCAGAGGGGGGTTGACTTCCACTTTATAACGTGATTGACATCTGTCATGTGGAATCTAAGCTTGATGCTATGTGCCCTGGGTTACTACCTGTTTGGACTTTACTGTATTAACTACCTGGAGAAAAACTGGAATTCATTTACTCGATGGACAGTATTGATATCTACCATGAGGCAAAGGTATTCTTGCAGGTAATGTGTACTTCATAGTAGAATTGTAGCAAAAAAAAGTTTTGCGAGGTTGAGATGGAGTTTCTTGCTCGTGTTGAATGTTTTACATTGAATACTAAGTTTGTTCAATCATTTGAAGATTAAGAGCTGAATTTTTGAATGCTGTGATGGAGCAAGAGCCCAGAGAGACAAGGACAAATATACCATTTGTTGTGCTAATGCTTGTTTGGATTTTCTTACAGTCACTGGTTACACTTCCTGTCTGGGGCAGACCAGGTAAAGTCAGGCAGATAGAATACCTGCTAAAATTTAAATGGCACAAAGGAGGCTTTGTTTTTAGGAGACAGGCACTATGCATGCCAGGGAGGGTAGACAAAACGCATTCACAGAGCAGGTAGTCATTACCCTCTGGGCATTGGGGGGGACGGGGGCAGATGAGTAGGGATCAAGGTTGTTGAGGACAAGTGGGTCTCTATCATCTGCAGGTAGACTTTATGTAGAGGCAATGGTCTCCATCTCCTGCCCCTTGTTCCTCTTCCTTGCCAAGGGGACAAAGCTGAGCTCTGAGATGGTAGAGCTGTGCTGATTTTTGTTTTAAAGCGGAGTCCTCACAGTGTTGTTGTTTAATTCTTAGGATCAGGTGGATTTTCTGCAGCTGATGGTTGATTCTCAAGTAGCCAGTGTCAGCTCTGAAAAGCAGAATGGTGATGGCAAGTCAACTGAAAAAGGTACCATCAGTGGAATGCTTCTCATTGCTTTCATCCTTGTTTCTTTCTGTTCTTGAAATGAAAGCTTCCTGTTCAGTTTCTTTTTTGTTTGCCACTGTCTGGTCTTCTAGTTTTCCTATTCCCACCTGGCTGACAATTTGGCACGTGGTCTGTTTGCAGTTCCTTGAGTGTCAGAGAGGGCTTACGTGACAGCATTTTGACATAGCTAACTTCTTCTGGGATTTTGGTTTGTTTTTGCTTACTCAAATGGGAATTGAATGGTTCCTAGGTATTTATTCTGCACAATCATGGGCCTGAAATTGGGAAGTGAATCCTATCTTGTTCAGGGAAATTGAGACACTTATAAAGGGTTTGAGGACAATTCTTGCCTGGGCACTGGAATTCCAGTCAGTGCTATCCATACTGTCCTAAATGAGCAAAAAAATAGATTTGAACTGGCATTTAATTTGCAAGATTCTCTTATTAAATTCTATCTAGTAATTTGTATCACCCGCCCAGGAAGCATATTCAATGCTTTTAAGACATGGCTTAAATAAATGCAACATTTAATTATTTATTGTCATACCGGCAATATGTTTTATGAATTGCTTGAATTGGAGAGCCAACATTTTTGTCTTCCTGTGCTGTAAGGCAAAATTTGTAATACATATATTCTAATTCTCTCTGCAGCTCTAACTGACTCGGAGATTCTGGCACGGGCCAGGACTTTTATCCTTGCTGGATATGAGACCCCAGCAATACACTATCTTGTATTGCATACAACCTGGCAACACACCCGGATGTACAGAAGAAACTGCAGCAAGAGATAGATGAAGCTTTCCCAAACAAAGTGGGAACTTACATTTCTATTGTGGTGATAATGACTTTGGGATCCACTTTGCAGCAACTTGTAGAGTAGAATTGTAGAAACTGTTTTTTAAAACCTTGCACACAGCAATCTGACAATAACTAGTTACATTTTGCAATGAGAACTCCTATGCTATTCAAAATCCTGCTTTGAAATGTTTTGTATCCAACTGAAAGGGTTTTCATTCAGTTTCGGTCATTTGGAATGCTCTGTACTGCATTTTTTTAAATATGGTGAGTGCTGTTGAAAAGGCCTGTATTTGTTGTGATCTCTTAATTGCCCTTGGACTGAATGGCTGGCTGGACCATTTCAGTGGGTAGTTTATGAACCACCTTTGCTGTGGGTTCATGTAGGCCAGACTGGTTAAGGTAAGTGGATTTCATTCCTGAACAGTCTTCCTGCATTATTGTTTTCCAGTATGGAATTAAAACAGCAACCTTCTGACTGAGGAGAGAGTGCACTCCAGCTGGGACGTGGCTATGATTGAGAGAGCTGTGATTGGCTGATACAAATCAGTTCCCGAGTGCACCTTGGCAGTGAGGAAACCCTAACCTCTGGGAGCACTTACTGGGGATAACAGTCCATGTTCTGCTTTTAATTTTGCATCATTTACTTCAAAGAGATGTTCAGCGGTTTGTGTTTCCCATCAACCACACACATACACTGGCATCATCCCTGAATCCTCTTCATTTCTTTCTGCTTTTCTGTTGCCGAGATACTACATCCATCCTCCTGTTTTGGTACAATAGCCTGAAGTTTGTGATCTTGATTCATTAGTGTCCATTGCCCCCATGTTTGTTAGCTTTGCATATAAGAGGAGCCATCAGCTTTGACCACTCAGTGGTAATGAATTTGATATTCTAACCTTTCTAGATAGTGCAATATCTGAATTCTCAGTTAGATTTATTTTTGATTATCTGATGTATGACCTTCATTTGGTCTGCCCACTATTCATACATCAACTGTACCTATACAAAAGCCAGAGAACGTTTCTCTTGCTGTGTTTAAATACTTTAATTTTCTGAATTTCACAAACAGCATGTACTGTTTTTCCTGTTGAAGGCTCCTCCCACATATAATGAAGTGATGCAGTTGGAATATATGGAAATGGTGATATCTGAAACCCTTCTACTGCTCCCCTCTGCCCCCAGCATTGAAAGAGTGTGCAAGAAAGATGTTTGACTCAGTGAGGTAACCATTCCAAAGGGGACTGCAATAATAGTTCCTACCTATGTCCTGCACCATGATCCAAAATACTGGCCAGAGCCTGAAGAGTTCAGACCTGAAAGGTACGTAGTAATTGCAATCATTGTGACTGCAAGCCTCCATTCTTCTACCAGTGTGCATTCTGCCTTCCATGAAGTATGGGCTATACCGCACTTTGGAGTTTGCTCCACTTAATAGATGTGGTTGTGTAACACGAGCAATTCTTGTTTCGTTGAGCTTCAGTAGCCCATTAATACAACAGTGTTAAAACAACACAATGAGGCCAACCAAGTCAGCACTGAGTAGATGTATTGCACATGTTCAAAAACACTTTAGATACTGGAAGTTGTGTATTGTTCCCTGTTTTCAAAGGGCCATCTAATGTGACCACAGAACTGAATTACTTCCAATGGTCAGCTAATTATGATAGCATCAGCTAACTTGAAGCCTGTATTCTGCATGACATATTTAATTATTAATACAAACAACCGAACAACCACCTCATTGCCATGAAGCCTAAGCAGTAATCTGTCAAAGATCTACAAAATATTTGTTGGATGAACTAAATATGTTAGCAGTTCAAAGTAAACTTGTAAATTGGCCAAAGAATAGAAAGGATATTCTGCACAGTTTGCTCCAAGCTCAAATTGGAATCACATATTTTGAATTTACATAAATTACCATGACACACACACTGTCTCTCATTAAGTACATTTTGCCAAATTGGCAAATGATGCCAAAATAGGAGAGGGCATTAGAACTATAGAATGCAGCTTGGTACAGACTTGAACAACACCTGCAACAGACTAATAAAATGGTAATTAAAACTTGCAGTTGTGAGTTACTGCCCATAGGAAGTAAGTGAACTGCTACCCACAAATATCAATTTTCTTTTGATCTATGTAGTATTCCCCTTTCCCAATGTCTTAAATAATTCAAAATGTTAGAAGGCAATTGGTTTAAGGTCAGAGAAATATCTGAAACCAGCATAATAAAAATATTTTAAATCTATACATGATCGTTTATTAAAGTCATTTCAAATTACACAAATATTTTTCAGGGCCCGTGAAGCTGTTCTGTAAAATATTTGTACTGTTAAAATCCCAGGGCATTGTCCACTCAAAGTGCAACTTTTCCAGGTGTTTTTGAAACCAAACAAATAAGGCAAAAGAGTAATTTGTCAGTTCATTGATTTGCTGTCTGCAGTGATTTTCAGTAGCACAAGCTGTGTGTAGGATACCATCACTGACAGAAACTGCTGGATTATCACTGACAGAAACTGCTGATTTCCTCATTCAACCGCACATGTGCAATTTCAGGTACAATCCGTTTCTGGAGGAGTAATGATTTCCAGCACTGACAGTTCCATATCATTACTACCACAAATCAAGAAAGTGCTGAACGAATAGTGATTTATTAAAAAAGAATTTGAAATCCAATTGAATACCTTATTCACAATAATGATCAGATGTTGCCAATATCGAAGGGGCCTGTCACTGAGTGGCTGAGCCACTGGATCGGGTACTTTTATGTTATACAATGTGCACATTTTGGGCTACTGCAACATGCATCACACTCCAGTTTTACCATTTGTGATGTTGGACAAGGGTAGGAACAAGATTGCGTGTTCTCTCAGATAATCAGTCTGGAACCACTTCACAGTCTGGACTCTCCAAGGTTGACACCCAGTGGTTGAGTGTCACCAGTTCACTATCAGTAAGTGAGCGGATGCTCGTACAGAAGTATCACTACCATTTCAAATTTTGTATTCTCCATTCATCTCTGAAGATATATCTACAGCATTAGCTTCCAAGCCAAATTGACAATGGTCTATTTCCCTTATTTTGCTTTTGCCAATATAACTAGGTTTAGTAAGGAGAATAGAGAGTCTCGGGATCCAAATATCTTTCTGCCATTTGGAGTGGGCCCTCGGAACTGCATCGGGATGCAATTTGCTCAAATTATAATGAAGATGGGACTTGCTTCATTCTTGCAACATTTGAGACTTGTGCCATGCAAGGAGACACCGGTGAGAATTTAAGCATATAAAAAATTATCTGAAAGTATGAATGTGTTCTGAAGTTGCATTTAAAAATTAAGTGGATAATGGGACAGGCAGGAAACTACAGCCTCATTGTTGGATACATAAAACTTTGCAGTCAAACTTTACCATTGCCCTCCTCACTATTGCTGTTCTATTCCAGATCCCTCTAGAAATGGATGTGAAAGGACCCATGCATCCCAAAAAACCCGTAATCCTGAAATTTGTGCCAAGGGTGAATGCTGATTCAAAGGAGTAAAGCACTGGTCCACTTGGAACTGTTAAAATATTTGGGAGAGTAAATACCTCAAACCTAAAGCGAAATAGGTTATGTCACTGCAAAGGAAATGAAAGTATATGGATAAACAAAAAGTCTCTATCATGAGAGGAAACTAGGATTAATTGATGAGAATCTACAATCTTTCTCCAGTTGCTAAGACTGGGTGTTGAGTATACTAGAAAGATATTATAAGAGCGTATTCAATAGGAAAACACATCAAGGTAATATTGTACAATTAGAATGTTAAAAATGTATTTTTAAACATTTTTGATATCTTAAAGAATCATTTTGTTACTGAGGTCTATTTGATAGATAGATATGCATTGTTTCTAATATATTAAGTGTTTTCTAGTGAAAATGTATCTGTCAAGGATTTCTTAAGATAATTGTATCTTTTCACTCAATTCTGTTAAGCAAGTTAGCATTTATAATTAAAAACAGTGCAATATCCAATTTTGACTACAAATTTGGGAAATGAAATGGACCTGATCAATGCAGGGCTTGTAACGCACAAATTAACCTGCATCCTGACCCACTGAGACAGGTAGCATGCAAACTTTATTCTGCCATCGTATCAATATACAGTGAGACATGGAATATGTTGCTGTCTGCCCCAGCAGCATTCGTGGCCAGTATGATAGATGACGAGGTGGTGGCTCTTAATGCTGCTATAAAGACACTGTGCTTGGGGACACAAAACCATTCATGGACTGGGCCAGGATAACCTTCAGCCTATTAGCTTGCTGTCAGCGCTCACACTCTCTCAGCGTATCTGGATGCTCACAGCATCTATGCCTTGCCTTTTTGAACCTTGCTATTACTATCGATGCAGAGGGAGAGCTGTTCTGAGTGAGTAGGCAGCACAGTGATCATTGCCAGATTAGTGGTATTGGGAATGGGTGAGGCTGTGTGTAAAAATGCTGCAGGCCAACATTCCTCTAGTCTTCCTGATTTTGTGCAATGCCAAAGCATTGTGGACAAAGGTCTGTGGGTGGGCACTAGCCATGGAGCTTGTGCTAAGATGTTGGTGTCTTGTGCCCAACATTAAGGGACAAAGGAACACTTATTCTGATGTTTGTTTTTGGAATTCTTGACATCTAGTTTCTATCTGATGCATGGGAGAATGGAAAACTGAGTATCAATGAGGCATGATTGAGTAATAATGCCATGCTGTTGCATATAAATTTACAGAAATTGCTCTCTTGCTGCTCATGAATGAGATTCTCAGCGTCTCACCATTTCAGAATTAGGTCACAGAAACTGACCTTTTGTCCTCAACACTGAGAATTTCAGTTTTGCTGATTTCACATTATTTTCCCAGCACTCACCAATACCAAGTTGTTCAGGGGCTGCCAAGTGTGACACTTTGAGCAAACTTTTATTATTTAATTTGTAACATTATCATTTCAAAGAAAAACGTTTAATCAGTGAAGATAGAATTCTAGAATAAATTCTAGAAGAAATTCCCAAATTTGTTAGCATTTCTTTTATAAGATTTCAAACTCATTGTTTTTTGATATAACTGAAATGACTCAACAACCAAAGTCACCTCAAATATCCCAAATTCCAATTCACGCAATTAATCACTAATATTCAAAACTGCTGATATTGTGTGTCTTCAATTTGAGTTAAAGAGTTTCATTTAATTTATCATGACAATCAGAATATCATTGTTGGTCACACTGAAATTCAGGTTTTCACAATTTAAAAGGCTAGTGAGATCTTAATTCCAATTTAAAATAAAACTTTAATTATCCACAGAAGAGAATAACATCTGCTTCACAAAGACAAGTTATGTATTGTTCTTATTCTTTTTTTCAGGTGCGTTTTGAATTGCTGGTAATCAAACTAAAGAAGAAGCTAGCTTTCAAAGATGATAAAATTGTCAACATTCTTAAACCAAATAGAGTTAAATAGGATGGAGTTTTCACATTCTGAGCTCTGAAATTCATACCAGTTTTTGAAAGAGACAGTCTTTTCCCAATAGAAACATGGTAGAATCTTTCCCGTGATAGTAGGAACTGCCGATGCTGGAGAATCTGAGATAAAAAGGTGTAGAGCTGGATGAACACAGCAGGCCAAGCAGCATCAGAGGAGCAGGAAAGCTGACGTTTCAGGTCGAGACCCTTCTTCAGAAAATTTTCTGAAGACAAGGATCTTTCCCGTATTCCTTTTATTCCACTTTAGATTTAGATTAATTTATCTTTTCTCTCATTCAACTCAATTTTCAATTTCTGATGTTTGCTGCTTCATCTAATTTGGAAAAACAGTAAGTCATGTCTTTCCTTTAAGCTGTTTAAAGAAAGCAATTGCAGTTCTTAAAGTTACATTTTAAAATTCTAGTCTGGTTATAGCAAAGTGTTTTGGAAAATTCAAATTACATTTCAGTCAGAACCTTAGCAAACATAAGATTAAAGTCAAAGCGTTTCAGCAAAGTGTTCTGCACCTTTCACAGACACAAAATTAAATGTTTGGTTAAATTAAGTCCACATAAACAACTTTGACATAAAATATAATACAGTTTCCAATTCTGGATGCTCAAACTTAAAACTGAAATGAATAAACTGAACAAACACACTCAGATTCTCATTTTCATACTGCTAAGATATTTAGAAATATTGATTCCTGTAATGTATTAACTCAAAGTGCCAATTTTCTTTATTCTATTCTTTGGTCTTGAGGAACATTTAGAGTTTGTATATGGAAATATATAAATTAGGTACAGGAGTAGGAGAAGGATGCAGAAATGCTTCAGTTTCATTTGGGCAAGTTGAATGAGTGGGCAGATGCATAGCAAATGAAGTATAATGTAAAAAAAATGTGAGGTCCTCTACTTTGGAAGCAAAATCAAGAAGGCAGATTATTATCCGAATGGCAATAGTTTGATGAAGAGGGAGGTACAACAAGACCCAGGTCTCTTTTCTACATCAGTTGCTGAAAGTAAGCATGCAGATATGGCAGGTGGTGAAGAAGGCAAATGGTATGTTAACCTTCATAGTGAGAGAATTCGACTACAGGAACAGAAATATCTCCTGCAATTGTATAGGACCTTGGCAAGACCACACCTGAAGTATTGTGTGCAGTTTCTTTATCTGAAGAAGGATGTTCTGGCTATGGGGGAATGCAATGAAGGTTTGCCAGACTGATTCCTGAGATGGCAGGATTGATGCATGTAGAGAAATTGGTTTGGTTAGGACTATATTCATTGGAGTTTAGAAGAACGGGAATGGGAGTGGGGGGATCTGATAGAAACCTTTACAATTCTAACAGGACAAGACAGGTTAAATGCAGCAAGAATTTACCTGATGAGAGGGAAATCCAGAAACAGGAGTCACACTTTAAGGATATTGGGTAGGCCGTTTAAGATTGAAATTAGGAAAAATTTCTTCACTCAATGAATGGTGAGCCTGTGGAATTTTCTGTTACAGAAAATGGTTGAGGTCAAATCATTCAATGTTTTCAAAAAAGAATTAGATATAGTTCTGAGGGCTAAAAGGGGTCAAAGGAAAAGCAGGAACAGGGTACTGAGTTTGATGATCAGCATGATCATATTGAATGGCAAAGTAGGCTCAAAGGGCTGAATAGCTCCTACTTGCCATGTTTTTATGTAAGATCATGGCTGATCTGACTGTGGCGTCAATGTGACTTTCCTGTTTACCCCCTATAATGTTTGACTCCCTAATCAATCAAGAATTTGTCAAACTCTGCCTTAAAAATACTCAATGATCTGGCTTCCACCTCACGGGGGAAGAGAATTTCACAAAATAAAACCTTAATGAGAGAAAGAAATTCTCCTCATCTATATCTTAAATGAAGTGTAACATGAGATCTGAATACACAGAAGGTCCAAAGATCATTGAGCTGGAATTCTTTGTTGCACTGGTATCAAGTCATTACAAACCTGAAGGGAAATTAAAGTTAAACAAAGATGTATTGAGATGGAATAAAGCTTGTTGTTTACATTGGGTTGAAGTGTCCTTTCTCTGCCTGCTCCTTCTCCTAATGATGCTTCCATTCCCCCATTTTTGACTGTTCCAGCTACCCTCCCTCACCACTGCGGCTTGTTGTTGGAGGTTCCATTACAGGAGGATAAAATCAAAGGAAAGTTTAAATTTAAAGATAACTGAATTTCATTTCTAACTGAAAACAGACCATATGTGCACCTTGGAGATGGGTTGAGAATGAACCGCTCCTTTGTTAAAACAGATTCCCGCTATTTTCACTGTATCTGAGTCATTCAGGGAGAGAGAATCTGACAGCAGCCAGAACAAAAACAAGGTAGGATCCCAGGAATTTTGGCTATTTTCAACTTGAAGTCATTGCACAAGGATGTTAGTAAAGCTGGGGAAATCCAAGTTCATGAGGAATTAAAGGCTGTCAGATCTGCCTGGTAAATCTAGCGGCATCTTCACAGCGTGAGCGTGAATTCTGGAAGTTTGATCTGCCGGGTTGGGAAATCGAGTAGAATCGGAGTGAATTCCTGGTGATTTGTGAAAAATTGATTTGGTTCCAGATGGAATTGAATGACCACTCACAAAACTTTGAAGTAAAAAAGGATTCTTGATTGAAATTAAAAGCTGAAGGGCAAGTGTTCTGTATGAATGTTCAATTCAGATGTGTGTGCTTACAAGATATGGACTAATAGTGTTTCCGAGACAACAAGGTGCAGGACTGGATGAACACAGTCCTGCACCTTGTTGTCTTGGATTCTCCAGCATCTGCAGTTCCTACTATCTCTGACTAATAGTGTTTGTTTTGTTTTCATGTTTGTTACAACAAAAGTTTCTGTTTAAAATGTGAATCTTGTTGTGCGGTCTTTTTAGTTAATGACCAGGAATTCAAACTACTTTTTAACAAATTACCGATTTCCACAGAGATTGTTAATAATTGGATGGGAGATTGCATATGGGAGAGAGCCAATTAATGCGACTTTACAATATCTGCAATACAGATCAAGAATATTTCAGGACTTAAACAAACTCTCTGGATACAAAAGCTGAAATGTTTACCGACGTTCTGTTCAGTGTTCTACCTTTATGGCTTATTCCCCTACTGGTGAACTTTGAAAACAGATGTTCATAAACCTGCAAGGGAACCCATCACTGTAAACTAAGGCTTTTCAAAACAAAGTATAACATTCACTGCCATAGCAACCAACACAAAACATGCCATTGCTTTGGAGGAAGAAAAGGTCTCCCTTGGTAGTGAATTCAGTCTAAATGCTCTCTTCCTCCCTAACAAATTCAAAAGCAAGAAACAGTATCTGCCAGAAACACACAGGCTGCAGCATAAAAGATTTTGGATTCAGGGCCCAGTCGACTTTGTAAATAATTTTAAGATAATTTTGCTGAAAAGGACACATGTTGTTGAAGTTTTTCATCTTGTACCCATCAGGTTTATGCACAACAATTACTTGACATTGTATGAGAGGAGTGTGCTGAGAGTACCTCACAAATAGGGCCTGAGCCATTTGTTCACTGAACAAGCTTAAAGTTGAATTAGACCATATCAAAGGCACCACATGGAATCGTAACTATCCCAAGTAGATCATTTATTGCCGAATACTGCACACAATCATGAATGGGACTAATGTCACTTTTTATCCTGAAAACTGCCTAATCTACCTCAAATTACTCTGGAACGGTAAGGTAAGGTATCTCAAAGATATGAGCAACAGGTGAATCAAGCTTGTTCATGATGCATGAATGATGCTCATCACTCTAAGACCGTAGGTTGTAGCAGCAGGAGTAGGGCATTCAGGCCATCAAATCTGTTCTACCATTCAATAAGATCACAGTTGAACTGATAATCCTCAACTCCACTTTCCTGCCATTTCCCCACGACCCTTGATTACCTTATTTATTAAAAATCTGTCTGTCTCAGCCTTGAAGATACCTAATGACTCAACTTCACTAGCATTCTGCAATAAAACATTCCATAGATTCTGTACTATTCCACACTGACTGGAATGCTGCTGTCAAGCCAAAAAGATATGCCTATCAAACAAATGAGTAATGTAGTTTATGAATTTCAGTGCTGGTGGTAGGTATGTAGGCTGTTGGTCCCAAAGACCGGGAGATCTTATCTTGGCTGTTTGCAGGAATCAGCGTATTGATTATGCCCAACCATACTGCACTTGGAAACCTTACAACACAGTGTCCAGCACTGGATGTAATTCCACAACTGGACATTGCCACATAATCCTGAGCGCACAAAGAATTATGCGGACAACTGATTTAGGATTATTAACTGAGCTTGCAGTGTGGCATACTTGTGTGTACTGGAAGCTACAATATTAATACATAGAGACCTGTTCATTGCAGACAGAAAGAACATGTACATGCACTGCACCTGAGTCAACTAAACAAACTTTTTGTTGACAGCCATTCGCTGATTCATTTCTCAGGACAATGCCTTGATGAATCAAGAGTCATCCTGCCTTGTTTAAAATTTAGAAGAAACTTG